AGAAGACACATATTTTTCTGGTGCATATGGAACATTCTCCAAGATAGACCACATGGTAGGCCACAAAAAGGCTCTGTAAATTTAAGAACATTGAAATCATATCAAGCATCTTTTCCAACCACAAAAGTATGAGACTAGGAATCAACTACAAGAAAAATAAAACTGTAAAAAAACATAAACGTGTGGAGGCTAAACAATATGATACTAAACAGTGAATGTATCACCGAAGAAATCAAAAAATACCTAGAGACTAAGGAAAACGAAAACAAAATGATCCTAAATCTGTGGGATGCAGCAAAAGCAGTTCTAAGATGGAAGTTTATAGTGATACAAGCCTACCTCAGAAAACAAGAAAAACCTCATAAAACCTAACCTTACACCTAAAGCAAGAAAAAAAGAACAACAAAACCCAACATTAGGAGAAGGAAAGTAATTGTAAAGATCAGAGCAGAAATAAATGAAATAGAGATGAAGAAAACAATAGAAAAGATCAATGAAACTAAAAGCTGGTTCTTTGAGAAGATAAACAAAATTGATAAACCTTTAGCCAGACTCATCAAGAAAAAAAGGGAGAGGACTCAAATCAATAAAATTAGAAATAAAAAAGAAGTTACAATGGACACCAGAGAAATACAAAGGATCATAAGAGACTACTATAAGCAAGTATATGCCAACAAATTGGACAACCTAAAAGAAATGGACAAATTCTTAGAAAGGTACAATCTCCCAAGACTGAACCAGGAAGAAATAGAAAATATGAACAGACCAATCACAAGTACTGAAATTGAAACTGTGATTAAAAATCTTCCAACAAACAAAAGTCCAGAACCAGATGGCTTCACAGGCGAATTCTACCAAACATTTAGAGAAGAGTTAACACCTCTCCTTCTCAAAATATTCCAAAAAATCGCAGAGGAAGGAACACCCCCAAACTCATTCTATGAAGCCATCACCCTGATACCAAAACCATACAAAGCTATCACAAAAAAAGAAACTTACAGGCCAATATCACTGATGAACATAGATGCAAAAATCCTCAACAAACACAAGCAAATTGACTCCAACAATACAATAAAAGGATCATTCACCATGATCAAGTAGGATTTATCCCAGGGATGCAAGGATTTTTTAACATCTGTAAATCAATAGTGTGATACACCACATTAACTAATTGAAAAATAAAAACAATGTGATCATCTCAATAGATATAGAAAAAGCTATTGATAAAATTCAACATTCTTTTATGAAAAAAACTCTCCAGAAAGTGGGTATAGAGGGAACCTATAATAATATCTCACCCTAATAAAGACCATATATGTTTAGAGCACCGCTAACATCATACTCAACAGTGAAAAGCAGAAAGCTTTTCCTGTAAGATCAGGGACAAGACAAGGATGTCTACTCTTGACATTTTTATTCAACATAGTTTTGGAAGCTCTAGCCATGGCAATCAGAGAAGAAAAAGAAATAAAAAGAATCCAAATTGGAAAGGAAGAAGTAAAACTATCCCTGTTTGCAGATGACATGATACTATACGTAGAAAATCCTAAAGACACCACCAAAAAACTATTAGAACTCATCAATAAATTCAGTAAAGTCACAGAATACAAAATTAATATACAGAAATCTGTTGCATTTCTATACACTAACAACAAATGATCAGAAAGAGAAATTAAGGAAACAATCCCATTTACTATTGCATCAAAAAGAATAAATACCTAGGAATAAACGTACCTAAGAAGGTAAAAGACTTGTATGCAGCAAACTATAAGACACTGATGAAAGAAATTGAAAATGACACAGATGAAAAGACATACCATGTTCATGAATTGGAAGAATTAATATTGTTAAAATGACCATACCACCCTAGGCAATCCACAGATTCAGTGCAATCCCAATCAAAATACCGATGGCATTTTTCAAGGAACTAGAACAAATAATTTTAAGATTTGTATGGAAACACAAAAGACCCCAAATAGCGAAAACAATCTTGAGAAAGAACAAAGCTGGGGATATCATGAGCCCTGACTTCAGACTATACTACAAAGCTGCAGTAATCAAAACAATATGGTACTGGCACAAAAACAGACATATAGATCAATGGAACAGAATAGAGAGCCCAGAAATAAACCCATTAGTTGTGGTCAACTAATCTTTGACAGAGGAGGCAAGAATAGACGATGGAGAAAAGACAGTCTCTTTAATAGATGGTGCTGAGAAAACTGGACAGCTAAATGTAAAAGAATGAAACTAGAACATTTTCTAACACCATGTTCAAAATTAAACTCAAAATGGATTAACATCCTAAATATAAGACTGGAAACTGTAAAACTCCTAGAAGAAAACATAGGCAGAACATTCTTTGACATAAATCATAGCAGTTTTTTTTTTTTTTTTTTGGATCTGTCTCCCAAGTCAAAGGTAACAAAAACAAAAATTAAGAAATGGGATCTAATTAAAACTAAAAGATTTGCACATCAAAGGAAATAATTGACAAAATGAAAAAACCTACAGAATGGGAGAAAATATTTGCAAATGATATGAGTGATAAGGGGTTAATATTCAAAAATATATAAACAGCTCATACAACTCAACAACAAAAAAACAACCCAATTGAAAAATGAGCAGAAAACCTGATTAGAAATTTGTCCAAAGAATACATACAGGTGACCAACAGGCACATGAAAAGATGATCAACATTGTTAATGATCAGAAATATGCGAATCAAACCATAATGAGATATCACATCACACCTGTAGAAAGGTTTATCAAAAAGACCGCAAATAACTAATGTTGGCAAGGATGTGGAGAAAATGGAACACTTGTAACACTGTTTGTGGGAATGTAAGTTGGTGCAGCCATTATGGAAAATACTATGGAGTTTCCTCAAAAAACTACCATATGATCCAGCAATTCCATTCCTAAGTATATACCTGAAGAAAAAAAACACGAATTCAAAAAGATGCATGCACCCTCAATGTTCATAGCAGCATTATTTACAATGGCCAAGATAGAGAAGCAACCCAAGCGTCCATCAACAGATGAAAGGATAAAGAAGTGGTATGTATATATACAATGGAATACTACTCAGCCATAAAAAAGAATGAAATTTTGCCATTTGCAACAACATGGATGGACTTGGAGGGTATTATGCTTAGTGAATAAGTCAGACAGAGAAAGACAGATATCCTATGATATCACTTATATGTGGAATCTAAAAAGTAAAACAAACTAGTGAATATAACAAAAAAGAAACACTCACAGATATAGAGAACAAACTAGTGGTTACCAGTGGGAAGAGGAAAGAAGTGGGAGTGGGACAAGAAAGGGGTATAAGATTAAGAGGTACAAACTACTATGTATAAAATAAGTCAACTATAGGATATATTATAAAGCACAATATTTTACAATAACTATAAATGGAGTAGAACCTTTGAAAATCATGAATCACTATGTTTTACACTTGAAACTTACATAATATTGCATATCAATTATACCTTAATAGAAAGGAAGGAAGGGGGGGAGGGAGGGACGTGAAAAAAACATGCACAGATTTTGTTAAGGAAAATTATGGGATATTCTAATTCTGTGATCCCCTGTATCCTTGACAACTAGAGTCCTCACTGTGAATGGTAATGCAGATGAAATATGAAACAAATTAAGTAAAAAAATCTGTATTGTAAAATTTTATAAGAAGTTTAATATGAGTTCATGAGATATTTTACCTTTAATAGGCACTTACACAATATACATTCATTTTATATATATATATATATATATATATAAAATATGTATAAAATGTATTAGCTCTGTCCACTAAAAAGACTTCATTAACTCTGACCACAGAAAAGATCTAGAAACAATGACCTACCGTGTTGCAATGAGCCAGCCAAATATTATATGCCTTCCAATGAAAATGCAGAATACCATCTGTATTCTTGTCATAAGGATCAAACCTGAGGTAGATTTGGGATAAAAGTCATGAGTCTGACTTTGACATGCTGTGCACTACACAAGTTGAGCAGCATAGTAACTATCTGAAAATGATACTGAATGTTTTATATAACTAAAATAAATATTTCAGAGCTGTTCTTATGGTATGGTAGTTGAAACAATGAAAATTAATGAGTTGTATGCTAAGTGAAATAGCAGAGGTCTGAGGTATAAACCATTAAAAATCATCAAGAATAAAAACATGTATAGGGCTTCCCTGGTGGCACAGTGGTTGAGAGTCCGCCTGCCGATGCAGGGGATAGAGGTTCGTGCCCCAGTCCAGGAAGATCCCACATGCCGCAGAGCGGCTAGACCTGTGAGCCATGGACGCTGAGCCTGTGCGTCTGGAGCCTGTTGCTCCACAACGGGAGAGGCCACAACAGTGAGAGGCCCGCGTACTGCAAAAAAAAAAAGAAAAAAAAAGTATAAATAATAATAAACAAGAGATCCATTGCAAATTTCAGAGAAGAAATGAGAAATATTTAGGAGAGGTAATAATGTCATAAGAGTTTTATAAGGAAAAAGTTAAAGAAGCAAACTTCTTGAGGTGTCCTTTTTCAGCCAAAGACCTAAACATAGTCATCCATTCCATGGCCTGATAGAAAATGTTAATAATAATTGCATCTTAAAATTGTAAAAAAAACAAACAAAAAATGTTGGAAACTTCATTTGCACTTCAAATTTAAATAACAACTGCAAAAATAAAACCTTTGCAAATGTACACTGTACAATTGTCAATATTCTCATTTTCCATTAATATTATTAAATTGTTAACATTTCTTATTTGGAAAGAGATATCAAGTGACTTTGGAAATTCCAGTTAACTGATGGAAGATGAGAATGAAGCCAATTTTTAAAAAGTTATTAACACTGGGGTCTATTTTTTTAAACCACTCTACTTTTAACACTGAATAGAATATTGAAGGATTCTTTTATGTGTACTCATCAGTTATCAGTGTCTATTTAAGAAGAAATTGCAAATTCACACCTTGATTCTATGTTTTAAGACAACACAAAGGAAACATCATACCAAGATGGACAACAGAGGGTGCCCTCCACTTTGAGAATGAAGATGCATTGACTGATCATTTCCTGAATCATTACTAAGTGATGCTTCTTAAAATTCTTGGCAACTGAGTCTTTTAAACTGCAACAGATGTGAAATGGTGAGTAATATACTTCTGTATTTTTCTCCCTAAAGGCAGTTGAAATTCAAATAATCAAAAGTCAAAGCAAAGGCAAACTGACTATATTTAATTAAATTTCGATGCTAACGGAAAGCCTTATATAATATCTGGATATGTTAACAAAGAAAGCTTTGCAAAATGAAATCAGCAGCTATTTGGTGTTAACTGACTTCCAAGTCAGGAGTGAGGGGCACAAGGAGTAGGAAAACCTTCATGCTGATGGTAACAGCGGGCTTCCAGGGAAATGTCATTCTTAACAGTGCCTTTGCTAATTGCTTATTTTAGATTTTTCCACTGAGCAGTTACAGATTCCCCATACAATTTATTAGGAAAACATTTACTTAAACCCTCCTTGACTTTTCAGTGAAATAACAATAAAAGGTATCACTTCTGGTATTAAGTTCAACAAAATGCTTTCAGCAAAATTGTTCTATATTTGTAGCAAACTAATTTCTCACAAAGGATCAAAGTCCTCATGTAGGGAAAAAATAACCAACCATTTTCAATATGGTTTGTAACAGACGCTTTCACAAGCAAAATGAAGCACAGTAGCTATAGGTTTCAGATGAAGAACTTATCTGAAAATAATGTGAACAGCTGGCAAACTTCCTGATTTCGACAAGAGGCACGTGTTAAGGCCATTGCAGTATTTGTACATCCCTCCTGGACCTCCTACCACCACCCCTCTCCCAACACACACACACACACACACACACACACACACACACACACACACACAGCATTCGAATCTTTAAACATTACTAGAATCTGTGACTAAGACCTGATGTTCTAGGAGCTTCCTCAGAACTCCTGGTAGCAGTTTTTCCTATCTAGATATGTAAATTATGGACTGTGTCAAAGCAAGACCATCTCCATGACTGATCCTTTTGCTTTACATTCAAAGTCAAGCAATGAATTTCTATTAATTTCAGATTCTCCCAGACATATATGTCTTTATACCAGTGGTATAAGTATCTCTTACCAGAGCAGATGGTTCTCAACCTTCCCATGGATAGGGTTTTCACTTTAATATCAAAAATTCTGGGGCTTCCCTGGTGGTGCAGTGGTTGAGAGTCCGCCTGCCAATGCAGGGGACACGGGTTCGTGCCCCGGTCCAGGAAGATCCCACATGCCACGGAGTGGCTGGGCCCTTGAGCCATGGCCGCTGAGCCTGCGCGTCCGGAGCCTGTGCTCCGCAACGGGAGAGGCCACAACAGTGAGAGGCCCGCGTACCGCAAAAATAAATAAATAAATAAATAAATAATCTGAAGACCTTGATCATGCTAATAGTTACATTTTCATTATCAGGTGATTAAAGAATTACAATTATGACAAAAAGTAAATAAATATCCAGTTTTATTTTAATGATTTCTATTTTATTCATAACATTAACACCTCTATACACTTGAAAAAAATATAATATTTATTCCATAATAATGAGATTTTTCCTATTAGAATTTGCAAGTATTGTAAAACAAGTAACTCTTTAGCCCTTACTTTTTTTTTTTTTTTCTTTTTTTTTGCGGTACACGGGCCTCTCACTGTTGTGGCCTCTTCCGTTGCGGAGCACAGGCTCTGGACGTGCAGGCTCAGTGGCCATGGCTCACGGGCCCAGCCGCTGTGCGGCATGCGGGATCTTCCCGGACCGGGGCACAAACCCGTGTCCCCTGCATCGGCAGGCGAACTCTCAACCACTGCGCCACCAGGGAAGCCCTATCCCTTACTTTTAATTTTCCCATTCTATTGTCAATAGCACCAGTACTGTTTTCCAAAGAGCTCATTTTTGCCTTAGGATCTTTCCTGTCACAAGAGAGAATTCAGTGTAGACATAAGCATTATGGTCAGAAACAAGGCTGTTTTCTCACTCAGTTTCAGTGGCTCCACCTAGCATCCTACAGACCTAGGCTGAAACAGGCCAGCTGATCCTTTATGATTCTTCAAACCTGTTACTTTTCCTATCTCACTAATTGCAATTATATGCATCATTAATTTAGTAGCCAAAGCCAGACATCTGGATACATCCGAGGTCTCTCAACCCATTCAATCCCTCCTCAAGTTATGCCTACCATTACTGTTCCAGTTAAGCCCCTATTTTCTCTCCTGGACAATTATTGGAGTCCTTAGTCACATTGCTGCTGAGTCGTCTTCCTCGGTGCAGGCTGCATGCAGTCACAGAGCCCGACTCATATTCCCATGAGCCCCTCCCCTATACTTCTTCCTTCTCAGCACCTACAGCAAGTCTTAGCTACTATGTGAACAATGAAGATTCAGAGAAAATGTAACTTCCACTGTGAGTTTGCCTCAATATCTCTAAAAGTATTTGCTCTCGGAGTTTACACTTAAGGTCACCTAAACAAAGCATTTCAAAATGATGTACTATCTCTGATTGTAGTTTGCAACCAACACAGGGTGGGGACTATATCATAATTAATGTAGTCTATTCAATACTTGTCCTTTAGTTGTCAGAAAATGTCTCCTCTGTAAAAAGTTTTTAATAGCTCTCTCAGATTGTACAAAATCAAGTTGAAGGACCTGTGGCTTATCAAAATCCTTAATAAGTGGGCCCTAATCTATATTTTCACTCACATCTCTCTACCTTTAGCCTTATACCTGCCTACCATTTTACTACTAATTACCAAACATTTTAGAAACATGGCTTTATTTTCTTTCAAATGTATTTTTTACTTTCATAGAATTTTTAACTTTAATTATTCAGTTGGTTTATTTTCCTGTGATAGATTTCCTGATCCCTATCCACCTCCATCCCCTTATCTTTCTGACTGCTGAAGTCCTTTTCATCTTTTATATACAATTAAAATGTTACTTCTGTGGAAACAACTTCAATATACCAGTAAGGTTTTTTTTTTTTTTCTCTTGTGTGGCAGGACATATCACATATACTTTTTTTTAAAGCAGAAAACACGGGATAGTCTATGCCTTGCTGTGGTAACAAGTAGGGCCTGAAATCTCAGCAGTTATTCCAACAAAGTTTATTTCTTGCTTACATAAAAACTGATGTGAGTCTGGTAACTTCCCAGGGTAGCTGTTTTCCATGAAATGATTTCATTTCTCACCAGGCTGCTTCCAAACTGTGTCTCTGCCCTGGCAACATGAGGCTTCCTCAGTCACCTCAAGAGGGGGAAGAAACTGGAGGGTTGCGCAGGGGCTTTTGATGCCTTAGCCCAGAAGTGACGTGCTCAAAATCCATGGACAAAATTAGTGACATGGTCCAACTTAATGCAGATGGGCCTACTAAAGAGAGGATGACTGAATATTAGAGAGCACTCATACTAAGTACCAGAGAGACTTGCTCACATTACAGATATTTATGTATTTACTGGTCTTCTTTTGTTAGACTGTGAGTTCCTTGAGAGAAAAACTATTATCTTCTTCATTTCTGCACCCCAGAACTTTAGCCAGCACCATGTGTTGAGTATGACATCGATAAGTTATTGTTAGCCTAAACTGAATTAAATCACAAGGGATATAAGGTAGTACTTACCTTTGAGAAGAAGAAACAAATTCTGTTCTCCAGCTTCCATATTGTGTTACATTCACACAGTCATATAAAGGACACTATAAGTTTAAAGGGAGTCAGGAAGAACTATGAAGCCAGACTTCCCAGCTTCAAATCCTGGCCCTCTGACTTATTAGCTGTATGTCTTTGGGAAAATTATTCAACGTACCTGTGCACCAGTTTTCTCAAAAGGTTGCTATAAGCATTAAATAGGTTTATCAATGTAAAATACTAGAACAGTGCCTAAATGGTAAATACTCAGCATCTTATACATGATTATTCATTTGTTACATGAATAAGATTCCAACATTTTCCAATTGTTCTTAGAGAAAAATCCAAAGTCCTTTCCGCATTCTACCAGGATCCGTCTGACCTGGCCTTTGCCAACCTCACCCACCTCATTGTCTATTTCCCTCTTTATTAATGATACTTCAAGCATTTCAACCTTCTTACGGTTTTGATTTGTTTTGTTGTTTGTTTGGTGATGGCAAGTTAGATTCTGCTTTCAGGCTTTTGAACATATTGTTGTCCTAGATTACTACAGCCACCCCCGGCCCCAGCAAACTACAGGCTGGCCCCTCTCATCTTTTAGGTCTCCGATCAAATGCCATATCATCAGAGAGTTTTCCCTGACTACCTCATCTAAAGTGGCCAACTACTCAGTAATCCTCTAACACACCTCCTTGTTTTATTGTCTTCATAGCACTTACCATGACTTGTAAAGATTAAATTGTGAGATCAAGAACTTTTTCTGTCTTTCCAATACATGAATTTGCTTAATAAATATAGGTATAAGTGATTGGTTTATGCATTTATTTACCAATCATTTATGGAACATTACCATGCATTCTTTTGATGCTAAGGATAAGACATGGGTGATTTTTATAAACTGTAGTTGTAAGGCTAGATCAGACAGAGCTCAAGTAAATTGTGGATGTTCTGGTCCTACCATACACTCACACAATAAATTCTCCCTTTTATAGGCAGAGGGACTAACAACTAATGCTCAGTCCTTCCATTTCGAGTGTTATGCACACTTCTAAAGAGTAGCAGAAGCTGCCACATGAAATATGATAATGCTTCTGTTACTTTTTAAGAATTCAGATTCTGCAGATATTTATAGTGCTGGAGAGGATGATAGGACAGCTGTGGGTAAGCAATCATGTAAGTATATCATATAACACCTAAGGAGAGAAAGCTTCAGTGAAATCACCCAAAATTTACTACATGTCTTGCATGAAAAGCTTATACTAAAAAAGTATATACTTGACAAGTTTATACTAAATTTATTCTAAACACTTTATAAAGTAAAAAAATATATAAAGTAAAAAATGTAATTCAGTAGCCCCTTATTTTAAAAATACTAATTACATAAACATGTCAGGAATATAATGTGTCTAATAAAATAGCCTAATTACCCGAATTAAATGCAGAAGCATTTTAATATCTATCCATTGGATCT